AGGAGCGTGATCGAAATTTTATTTGAAAATCCGTAGTGAAATTTGGCTTGAAATGGCTAAAATAGAAATTTAAGTTTGGAAGTTTGACCGGAGAGTTGACTTTTTGATATCGGGGTCGGAATCCATTTCTGAAAATTTTCATAGCTCCGTCATGGCATTTATGACTTGCGTACACAATTTGAGGTCAATCGGAGTTGAATTGATAGGTTCCGGTGTTGTTTGTAGAAATTGAAAGTTTCAAAGTTCATTAGGCTTGAATCTATGCGTGATTGGTGTTTTTAGTATTGTTGGATGTGATTTGAAGACTCGACTAAGTCCATATGATATTTTAGGACTGGTTGGTATATTTGGTTGAGGTCCCGAGGGGCTCGGGCGTGTTTCAAATGGTATTCAGAGTATTTTCCTTCATTTTGGCACTGATGGTAGCTGCTGATTTCTTGTATTTTAAACCTTCTTCGCGATCGCGAAGATTGGGACGCGATCGCGTAGGCTTATTTTAGGCAGTGTTAATTTTGTTCTTAGCATTCGCGTGAGGTCAACTGCGATCACGTAGGTTTGGCAAGCTGTGCATCGCGATCGCGTGGCATTGTTTGCGATCGCGTAAGGTTAATTCAGGGCTGCTAAGTTTTGTGCTTCGCGATCGCGTGAAGCGGGATGCGATCGTGTAACTTTGAGCCCTTGTGACTCACGAACGCGTGAAGAGGACTACGACCGTGTAGAGCGGGGAATTTTGTTCTCTGCAATCGCGTGAGGATATACGCGATCACGTAGAGTTAATTTGGACAGTGGTAATTTGTGCTTCGCGATCGCGTGTGGATGTTCGCGATCGCGATGAGTAAAAGCATGGTCAGAATGTTTAAGTTCTGAAAATAGGACTAGGTGCTTCTTATCAGCTCCGCTATTAGTTGAGAGTGCTTGCTGTTGTATGGAGATTTCAAGGTATATCTGCCGCGTCCGCAGACCTCGGAGTCCCCCTCTATTCTCTCCTATCTCATTTACCTTATGTATTTCTTTTATTAGACTCTGCTGTATAGAGATTCTAGTTTCCTTCTGTAGCTTGTGACTTATGATGTTTCTGGTTTTGGAAGTACTGTGTATTACTAGAGTGTTGGTTATGGTACAAACCGAGTGGCATTGTTACCAGTTATTTTGTTATCTGTTGCAGTTAGTTGTTAAGTTTTACTCCCATTTTTGTTATTCCTGTATTTTGTTAGGCTTACCTAGTCGTGGAGACTAGGTGCTGTCACGATGTCTTACAGAGGGAGAATTGGGTCGTGACATAACTAATACATGTGTAACTCTAACCGGCAGCCAAACAACCCCTAAGAGAGGAAAAACAGATTTGTTCCCTTTTCATTTTAAGGCTCTATGATTATTACCTTTATCTATCTATCTATATTATTATAAAAATATGAATACAATATCATTTTATAAAAATAACCTTATAATTTTAAGCATAATAACTCATAATAAAAGGATATAACCGAAATTCTAAATATTAGTCTTATAATCCTATTTGTTTTAGAACATAATAGTACACGTTAAGAATCTTATATGATTATCTTTAGGAATCATATTAGTATAATTACTTTTGGGCTGTCAAATTTATATAAAATTGAACAAGTACATATCTTTAGTCATGTAATTCTATTACTTTCAGGATATACTTCTTAAAAATTCTTAGTTAATATGGATATGCAATATTTTAAAATTACATGGTTATGAATATAGAGTACAAGCGCAAAGCGTGTACCCTAGATTAGTTGTCTACAAAAGAATGAGGATACATTAATTGTTTTTATGTGGCTTTGCTTTCAAGCTATGATGGGGGATTTGCAGTCGTACCCTATATTTGTGCCACTTTTTAACCTGTACCCTATTTTTAAAAATTATTGATTTGGTAGCCAGTTGACAAAAAATATGTAATAGTATGACACTTACACCCCTGATAGTATTAGCATTAATATGCTACTTTGGAGATGACCTCATTCGTAACAAGCACTGATAAACGTAGCAACATGCTAACGTTTGGAGATGATGTTTTAGAGTACAAGGGGTTATTCATTAGCATGCGAGATGGTGTAAAACTTCAATCAATTACAGTAGCAGCTGAAGTTGTTTTACATTGAAGCTAAAACTTCATGCTAATGCATGCTGAAGTTATTTATCCTGCAGTCAACAATTTTGTCATCAGTTTTATCCAAAACTTTAGTTTAAACATGCTGAAGTTATTTAGTTCATTTGCTAAAACTTCAGACTAACACATGCTGAAGTTATTTAGTTCATTTGCTAAAACTTTAGTTTAAACATGCTGAAGTTATTTAGTTCATTTGCGAAAACTTCAGACTAAACATGCTTAAGTTTTTGTCTTGCAATATGTAATTTTCTAATGAGTTTTTGCTAATGCATGCTGAAGTTATTTAGTTCATTTGCTAAAACTTCAGACTAAACATGCTTAAGTTATTTAGTTCATTTGCTAAAACTCCAGACTTATCATGCTTAAGTTATATAGTTCATTTGCTAAAACTTTAGACTAAATATACTTAAGTTATTTAGTTTATTTGCTAAAATTTCATGCCAAAATATGCTGAAGAGTTGTCCTGTAGTATGTAGTTTAAGCCTTTTCGGATGGGATGACCTTTTAACTACCTTTATCTTTGCCCCTATGCAAGAAAGGAATTTATCCGCACCCCAAGGCCGACTGAAAGGCCAAGCAGCTAAGGGCCTACGGCCATGGCTTTAGACACCCAAATTCTCTTGGACCCATTTTCTAAATTTTGTTTTCTATGATTAATTTATTTTCAAAAATATTGAATAATATAAAGCAAAATGTATAAAATACTTATAGAAGATGAATAGATAACAATTTACATAAGGATTGAAAATGAATGTTGGTCAATTTACAGTATGACATTAATATTGTCTCTCCTTTTTTTCATAATAAAACTTGTATTTTTTTTCTCTCCTACAAAGCTATTTATTCTCTCAAATACAAGGACATTGAATAAATTAAATTGTACATTCATTATCATTACTATTTCTCAAGTTTTCAAGCACGCACAATAACAATCAAAATTAACTAAAGCAGTGAAACTTTGCTTTGCATTTTTTGTGTCTTTTCACTTCATAGATGTAATTTTTTCATTAAAAATTAGAATTCAAATATGTCAGTATGAATAAGGTTACTCAACTAAAAAAAGATTATTATTGAAACTTTAATACTTTTATGGGTGGTCAAAAAAGATTAAATATGTTATTTATATCATTAATAATTTTATATCTTAAAAAATAAACAAAATAAAATTAAAATAAAAATATGTTAACTTTTTTTTTAAAAGCTTAAGGCCTCTTAATAAAGCTTTAGGCCACAACTTTTCTTGAGCCACCCTGCGGCACCCACTAACTGCACTAAATAAGTAATACATGAGTATGTAATTTAACTTCAATTTGTGACTCATAGAGCTAAATTATTTTATTGGTGTAAATATTATTCCTTGGTTTTCATTTATTTGTACAATATTGACTTAACACTCTTTTAAGAAATTATTATTATTAAGAGTTTATTTTATTAAATTACCCCTATTAATGACACTGAAATCCTATCAACAAAGGAATGATCGAAAGTTAGTATTGGACCGAACTTCTTGATGATAAGAGATTCTAGGTTCGAATAGTAAGAATAGAATCGCCAACGTAAGGTGTGTTTTAGCCAAAATGGAATTTTTCGTTGTACATTTGAATTAATCGAGCCTCCAAACACCGGATGAAAAGTCCAAAACACTGGAAAAAAATAATCTGGCAAAAATTTTCAAACAATTATTCCATGTCTTACTTTAGTCCCTTAAATGTATATACTAAAATTAATATTTTAAAAGGCGTGAGCGTAAGGCGAGACGTTTTATATATGCCTCAGCGAGACGTAAAGCCTCGAGACATGGGGCGTAAACCCCATGAGTATTTAATTTTTAATATTTTATAAAATAATATAATTACAGTAAATATTTATAAATAGATAAAATTACATTAAAATTGAAAAAAATAATATATATATATATATATATATATATACACACACACACACACACGTGCTCCATCCCCCTAAAATATTAATCAAAATAATATATTATACACTATTTACAAGCACAAATAACTTGAGTCTGAAAAGAATAAAATTTACTATATGAATGAACAAAAATGATGACTAATCTACAATTTGAACTTTGAACTTGTTGTCTCTCTTTGTATTTGTTAAAAAAAATTAAATATTCGTTGCTTTTGGGAGATATTAATAGACTAGCAGACAAGATAAAGAATTGAGAAATACTATAAATTAAGCCTTCAATCAATAAAAAACGGTTTTGACTTTTAAATTTAATACATTTTAGTTCCTTTATAAATCTTTTATGTAATTACAAGTTAACTTTTAAAAATTTGAGTATTATATGAAAGATTATTTTAACAATTTTTTTTAATTTAAAAATATTTCTAGGACTTACGTCTCACAATAAAAACGCACCGCAAACATCCTAAATTGCTGGACATACACCTCTTGAGATTTTCGTCTCAGACAATCGTCTCAGAACATTTTGGGTGCGCCTTATCTCGGGGCTCGTACTGGGACTCACTCCGAAAGTGCGTTTTAAAACACATACTAAAACACACAACATGCAACAGCAATTAATAAAATTAGCAGGACCGGACAATTTGACTTGATGTGGCTTTATAGAAAAGCTCCACATAACTATTGTTATGATTGTCTTTTCCAAAGACTATAAATGAGTTGACGCATGCGTATTCTTTTCAAAAGAATATTTAATGAGTTCTCTTTTCCAAGTTAAGCCTTTTCTACTTGCTATCGTGAATTAAATCTCTTTTGGTTAATCAAATAAATATCAACCGCTAGATTTTTCAAAAGACACCTGTTAAACTTATAAGGTTGGTGATATGAAGAGATTGTGAATTGACTACTTTAGTTGAAATAAATTTAGTAATATTTTAAAAATAGTAATAAAAAATTATAAACACCACTTGGTCTTTCAAGTAAGATCAGTTTAAACTAAGTTACTAGTTTGGCCTCTCATTCACACACAGACAGACAGACGTAATATGGAGAGAGACATGGAATTCGTACTAGACGAATTGATGATCAATTCAGGGAACGTGGTAGAAAATGTAACGGAGACACTTAACTCAATACCAAGTGAGTTAAAAAGATTGTTGCAGATGCTAAAGGATTTTGCTGCCAAAGTGTTAGTGACGCTAAAGAATGTTGGTGGCGAAGTGTTACTGACGCTGAAGAATATCGGAGGACAAATGGTGGTGACATTAAAGAATATTGGTGGTGGATTTGCTAGTTGGTTTAATAGGATGTTTCCGCCGGGAACTAGAATCGAAAAGATCAAAGAATGGTGTAAGTTTGCTTTATGCTTCATAGGGATGCTAGTTATTGTTTATGCAAGCTTTTATGCTGGAAAAGTAGGGGCGGCAATAATGAAGAATATTTTTGGCGATGGATTTCCTAGTTGGTGTACTATGGTGTTTCCGCCGGGAACTAGGGTCGAAACGATCAAAGAATGGTGTCAGGTTGCTTTATGCATCATAAAGTTTCTGCTGTGTTCGACTGAACAAGATGATGAAAGCTTTCGTGCTGGAAAAATGGTGGCGACAGTAAAGAATTTTGGTGATGGATTTGCTGACGTGTTTCCGCCGCCGGGAACTAAAATCCATAAGATCAAAGAATGGTGTCAGGCTGCTTCACCTTTCATAGGGTTGCTGCTGCGGTGGCTTCAACAAGATGCTGAAACCTATTATCAGGGAGTGAAATCGCAGCTAGAGCTGACTAATTTAGAGGATGAAAGCTCTATGTATGCGGCGGTACTGGGACTGATACTGCTACTGCCCAATTATGTGAAGGAAAGATGTGATAAAATTAAGCCAGGCAAGAATTTGTAGTGGCAATTAATTCCAAGAATTTATAGTATAATAACAACCCTTTATAGTGGCAGGAAAAGGACAAGGACCGATAATCGGAATCGATCTCGGCACTACATACTCATCCGTCGGCGTGTGGCAACACGACCGTGTTGAAATCATTGCCAATGATCAAGGTAACAGAATGACGCCATCCTACGTTAGTTTCACTGATTTGGAGCGTCTCATTGGTGATGCCGCCGAAAAAGAAGTCGCTAGGAACCCTACCAACACTGTCTTTGGTAAGATCTCGTCTTTTTGCGGTTTTAATATCAGCCTTTTCATATGTAATATGCGATGAGCTTTATATTTCACTTATTTTTATTCTACTTGATAGATCGGAAATGTTAATGTATGATTGCATATGATTGCATATAAGTGTTCATAACATTCAACGGAATCCTAGGCATACCTTTGGTGTTTAAAATTAATTCACATGTTAAAGGTCAGATCTAAGACGTACTTGGTGAATAGAGTTTTGTTTAAAAAATTTCTTCGATAATGCGAACACTTTATACTTATCCATACCAAGATCGATCTTTGCTATCAACTCTTCGATCAATGGAACCTGCGAACAAAAGTATTATGCTGAAATTGTTCTCCAAAACTTTCAGCATGACAAGGAAAATAGTGGATCTTATCTGATGAGCAGATAAAGCTCGGCTATTGTCTGATGATAGTGATATGAAGAACATACAAATTTTTGGTTTGATCATAAGCATGTTAATGTGTTACTATTATGTGAAAATTCTTGAAAGTTTGTTTATGGCTGTTTTGGAGCGTAAGCACACTAGCTATTAAAATTATTTAGTTTGTTTAGTTCGGTTTCTTGAAAACCACATGCTGATGTTAACCCGAACCTTTGCACCATGCAGCTGCTAAAAGGTTGATAGGTAGGAGATTTAGTGATGCCTCTGTGCAGAGTGACATGAAGTTGTGGCCATTCCAGATTGGTGCTGTTGCTGGTGATAAGCCACCGAGGATTGGAGTCTACTACAAGGGTGAGAAGAAACAGTTTACTGCTGAGGAGATCTCATCTATGGTGCTCATGAAGATGAAAGAGATTGCTGAAGCCTTCCTTGGCACAAGTGTTAGGAATGCTGTGGTTACTGTTCCAGCCTATTTCAATGACTCTCAGCGTCAGGCCACCAAGGATGCTGGTGTTATTGCAGGCCTGAATGTGATGCGTATTATCAATGAACCTACTGCAGCTGCCATTGCTTATTATGGTCTTGATAACAAGGCTACAAGTGTTGCTGAGAAGAATGTGCTAATCTTTGATCTTGGTGGCGGCACATTTGATGTCTCTATTCTAACAATTGTGGAAGGTAGTACCTTTGAGGTGAAAGCTACTGCTGGAGACACCAGCCTTGGAGGTGAGGACTTCACCAATAGGTTGGTTAACCATTTTGTTCAGGAATTCAAGATAAAGAGCACAAAGGATATCACTGGTAATCCTATGGCGCTCCAAAGGTTGAGAACTGCATGTGAGAGTGCAAAAAGGACTCTTTCATCCGCTGCTCAGACCACCATTGAAATTGTCTCTCTGTACGAGGGTATTGACCTTTCTTCCACCATCACACGTGCTAAATTTGAAGAGCTTAACATGGATCTGTTTGCAAAGTGTATGACATCAGTTGAGGACTGTTTGAGGGACGCTCTGATGATCCAGAGCTCAGTTCATGATGTCGTCCTGATTGGTGGCTCCACTAAAATCCCAAAGGTCCAACAACTTTTGCAGGACCTTTTCAATGGGAAGAAGCTATGCAAGAGCATCAACCCTGATGAGGCTGTTGCTTATGGTGCTGTAGTGCATGCTGCAATTTTAAGTGGGGAGCGTAAGGTGCAGGATCTTTTGGTGTTGGATGTTACCCCTCTTTCCCTTAGTGTGAGATCTGATACTTCTCATGACATGTCTGTAACATTGATTCCCAAAAACACCACTATCCCAACAAGGAAACACTTTACAACCCCCCACACGATTCAGGTCTTTGAAGGTGAGAAAGTAGCGAAGATCACGGACAATAACTTGCTTGGCGAATTCGAGCTCTCTGGCGTCCCTCCTAAAAGTCCTCAAATCACAGCGTGCTTTCACATTGATGCTGATGGTATCTTGAATGTCTCTACTGAGGACACGACAGATGGCCAGAATAACAATCTTTTTCCTGTTTCGAAGAAGAAGAAGAAGAACGCGATTACAGTCACCAATAACAAGGGCAGACTCTCGAAGGAGGAGATCGAGAAGATGGTTCAGGAAGCAGAGAAGTACAAATCTCAGGATGAGGAACACAAGAGGAAGGTCAAGGCAAAGAATGCTTTGGAGAACTACTCAAACAGTATGAGGAAAGCTGTGAAAGATTACAAGGAGAAGATTGAAGATGCCACCGAGCAAAGCAACCAATGGCTCAACGGCAACCACCTTGTTGGGCCTGATCAAATTGAGGGCAAACTGAAGGAGCTACAGAGCCTCTGCAACTCAATGACTGCAAAAATGTACCCTGAGGCAGGAGGCGATATGTAAGTGGGTGTGCATTATTCGGATTAAATCGAAAAACCAAATCGAATTTTAATTTGGATTGGTTTTTTGGTTTGGTTTCCGATTGAGATATTAAAAATTTCAGATTTTTGGTTTGGTTTCCGATTTAGAAAATTAAAAACCGATAAATAGAAAATTTATGTAATATTATAGTTTTAAACTACTCAGAATGTATCATTTTGATATCCCTAATAATGTGTTACCTTCGTTCCGGAGGACTCTCACCATAATCAGCGTAGCACCGAGAAAGGGCAAAAAAAACAGGTGATAATCGCTTTATGAGTTGAAATTTGAGTTTGATCTTGAGTCTTATTGCTCGATTATTGCTCTATTCCAGCTTTTCTCCTTAATATCTTCTTCACTCTGGCCATTAACTTTTACTTGATTTCTAAATTTTTTCATTTGCTTTTTGGTTGAGTTTCTTGGTGATTTGTGTTGGTTTTTGCAGTTTCGCTCTTTGTGTTTTTGGCCTCTGTTCTCCTTTTCCGTTATTTGACTTGCTCGTGTCTTGGTGATGAGATTTTGATAGATATCTTTCGTTTCCTTCTTATTTAGGACTATTTTGATGGTTGTGTAAAATTGATGAAAGCTTGCTGTGATTACTTTGCCCTAATTGTTTTGGAATGGCTAATTCATATTGCACTTTCATAATTTGCATGTCATGTGTTCGACCAATTGGATGAATGACATTGGAGCCTTAGAATTAACCATTAAATACACTCAAAATTATTTTATTTCTATTCGAAAGTACCTTTTTTTTTTCTAAAAGTTTATCAAACACCTTAAAGGGAAAAAAAACACCTTTGTCAAAAACAAAAACACTTTTAAACCAAAAATATCTTGGCCAAACATGTCGCACACCTATTTTGATAGGTGGTGCACGTAGAACGCCTAATGTGTTTGTGCAATGACAAAAAGAGCCTTCCTTTCTTTCTTTCTTTCTTTCTTCACACCTTCAACTAATGCATCTTCAATTTATCTTCTTCGGTATTTGATTCTAAGGTATGCTCTTCTTTCAATATTTTTCCAAATCTTCTTCTACTCTTTCCTATATCTTTTTTTCTTTCCGTGTCTTTGTTGGGTTCAATAAAAAAAATGGGGAATGGTTTAGGGTTTGTTATGTGTAAAATGTGGGAGTTGCGATTGGGAGTAGTTGATAAAGAAACACATCGTGATTGTAATTTCATTTGCTTAAGGATTCTTTTTAAGGATTTGAATTCAACAACAAGAGAAGAGTTTTGTCTTCAGATTTGGTTTGCCTTTTTGGGGCAAACTTGCATATCTTCAATGGTGGTATTTTTGCTATGAGTCTGAAGTATGATTTTCTCAAATCCTGAAAATTAAGTCCAAATAAAAATTGATATCAACAGTAAGATATTAAGATCTTAAACATGTCTATTTATAATGCATGCTCTAAAAATGGTTGCGGAAAAGATTGAATTCATGAACAATTAAACTTCCGACTTAGCTCTGAAAATTGAGTGATGAGAATTTGTTAAATATACCTAAAAAGGGAAGATCCCAACCATGATGGAGCAGGGTGCTGGCCAGCAGGGCCGGCTGGAGAGTCGAGCCTCTGAAGCAAAGGCTTTAGGCCCCGGGCCCCATTTTTTATTAATAGTGTAGTTTTTATTTCTTTCTTAACAAAATACCATTGAATATTGTATAGTAAAAAGGTACAATATAAGATTTTTGTTTTTGTTAAAAGAACGAAAGAGAACCATTTAGCCATTAATTTTAATATCAATACATTTTTACTTTTCTTTTCTTTCTCATAATAAAACTTGTACCATGTACTTTTTTTCCATCCTATTAAGCTATCTATTCTCTCAAAAATAAGGCAAGGACATTGAATAAGTTAATTGAGCTTTCCTTTTCATTTTTTCAAGTTTTCAAATATTGCAACAAGTGAATTAAAGCAGTGAAATTTTAGAGTGATATCAAATTATCAACTTCTAAAATCAGGTTATATTATTCTAGCTTTTTATTATCTTGTAATTAAATTTTACCATTGTAAATTTTACTTATAGATGTATATTGCTTTTCATTGAATATTAGAATTGAAATATGTAAACTAAAAATATAAATCAGATTATATAAAACACACGAAAAAAGAGAGGAGATCAAGAACTGAACCTCTATATAATCTTAAAAAAGGAGCTATTTAAACATGGTCTTAAAGATGAATCGGATAAATTGTCAATTGAAAAATTAATATAAATAGCATAGATTATAAGAACTTATTAATAATTTTGCATCTTAAATAACTAGAAAAATTACATTAAATAAAAGTATATATGTGAAGTTTTTTTTCCAAATAAAAAGTAAAGGCATGTTAATATGTTTTGCTTTAGGCCACCAATTTGGTTGAATCGCTCTTGCTAGTCAGTATGGCGCCGCCACGGCAGCTGCCTGTGCTAAACTCTCATTGGAGTGTACTGTATTCGTGGGAAGCTTAGATATGGAGAGATAACCTTCCAACGTACTCTTGATGAAGCATCTTGGTGCAAAGGAGCGTCTTTAGTAATGTCACAAATTACTTAGTAACTTTTTTTGTCACATTGACGTAACTACTACTATTTACAGCTTGTTTGGATGGTTGTTATTTTTTGTATTATATCGTATTTTTACTTTAAATATAATATTTGTTTTGATTGTTACTTAAATTTTATTGTATCGTATCGTTTAAATCCGTCGTTATGTAACGACGAAAAATATCACTTTATGAACGACCGATTTGGTATGGTCGCGTCGTGTCCTTATTTTTTTCTCCCATCTTATACTTTTTATTATTAAATAATCTTATTTTATCTTTTACCCTACCTTTTTTATATTACTAGCTTTAGTGTACGTATGTTACACGTGTGCCTAGCGTCAATCAATAAAATATGTGTACAAGAAAAGCATATAAATTAGGTTATCAAATGCTAAATTTTAAAATGACTACATTAAGTTAATATGATACAATAAGCAACTTAAAGCTTGTTTGGATGGTTGTTACTTGTTTGTTTTGATTGTTACTTAAATTTTATTGTATCGTATCACTAAATCCTTTGTTACGTAACGACGAAAAGTGTCACTTTATGGAATGACTGATTTGGTGTGGTGGCATCGTATGACGATTTTGAACTCAGGTGTGCGTCCAAATTTGGATTTAAAAATCCGTAGGATAATTCAGCGCATTTTGGCGGAAATTGAAAAGTTAAAATTTTGGAAGGTTAAGAGGTTTGACCTGGAGTTGACTTTATAGATATCGGGTTCAGATTTCGATTCCGAAAATTTGAAATAGGTTTGTTATGTCATTTATGATTTGTGTAAAAAATTTGAGGTCAATCAGAATTGATTCGATATGTTTCGGCATGAGTTTTGGAAGTTGGAAGATTGAAAATTCATAAGTTCGATTCGGAGTGTGATTCTTAGTTTCTACGTTGTTTGATGTGAATTGAGGCCTCGAATAGGTCCGATTTATGTTATGGGACTTGTTGGTAATGTATGTATAGTTCAAGTTAAGGAGGTTAGGAGTGTCAAAATATCAAAAGGGAGTAAAATATTAAGTTTTAAAAGCTGGTTGAAATTGGCAAAAACAATGCATTTAGGCCCTAACGCATGCTCAACGCACGAAGGAAAATAGAGCTTCCAAGGAATAAACCAGCGCATTTAGTCTTTAATGCACGCTCGGTGCGCGCTAGAAAATGTTGTCTGAGCAGTGATAGCTCACGTTGCGCGCGCGCCGCACGCCTGCCGCGAGGTCCCCTGCAATATAAAAGTACATGAGCGGGGAAAGAGAAAAATAAAAGGATTTCAAGGTTAGGATTTTTCTCTCCATCACCCATCCGACCAGGGCTTCCAATACACACTTAAGGTGAGTTTTTAAGAGCGATGATTCCACTTCTCAATTACTAGTTACAACAAGGTTTTGTATTTGATTCCATAGGATTTTTTCAAAATTTCAAGAATACCCCAAAAGTTGCCTTTCAAGATTTGGTCTTCAAGAGGTAATCTTTCACTCTTAAACCAATATACATGGATTGTTAGTGAATATATAAGCAAGAAATAAGTATTCGCACTTATTGGATGGTGCTTGGAAGCCATGAATACTTAAACTAAATTTTTGGGTGTTGTAGATATTTTTGTAATGAGTTAATTAGTAAAATTGGGTAGATGTAGTTCATTGATGATTGCTGTGGTGATAAAGAAGGCAGTTAGTATACCAAGGATATTATAGTATCTGTTGTTGGTGGGAATGAGAGATTGTTAGAGGAAGAAACACCATTACTAGAGGTAGTAGAGTGTTATGCACTCTAGGTATTTGATAAAATGCCTAAATGACCTAAAAATCTGGAATATTTTACTAATATTGGTCCAATTGATTTATGTAGATGTAGATTGAAGTTGTAAGAGTAGTGAAAGGTTTTAATATCACTAAATAGACGAATCAAGAAAGTTCGATTGTGGCGATCTTTGCCGAGGGATTTTCAAGGAAATATTCATCATGATTCGAGCCATTTAGAGTTGGATAATCACGGAAAAGGCTTACCAGTGGATTGAATTAACGTATTTTGAGGTAAGTATCTTGCCTAACCTGTGTGGGAGAATTATCCCTTAAGCATTGAGTCGTTTATGCAAATTTTGAAATGTAAAAGCCGTGTACGCGAGGTGACGAGTACATACTCAACTTATATGTGAAAAATTCTATAGGTTTAAAATCTAAGGCTTCTTTTATATATTTAATGGGAAATTGTTGGCACATTTTTATATCTTTTATTCTCCATACCCGCTATTACATGCTTTGTTTGAAGTTGTGGTTGCTTGTTACATTCTTTATTTGTCGAGTTGCTCGTATATACTTATTTGGAATTGTTACCACTTTGACCATTTCGTGAATTCTTTTATTGTTAAGTTGCCATTACATGGAGATACTTTCATCATTAATTGTTATCTTCAAATATTTAAATGGGAATTTAAGTTATCAAGATGCATTGATTTAGTTTACTAGAAGTTATGTTTAAAAGAGATGTTGTTCCTTGCTGAGTTACTTTTCAATTCATGTTGTATTTATTGAGACTTTGTGTACATTGTGGTTGAGTAGTAGGCCCCTTATTGTGAAGAATATTGTTATTGTTGATTTCTTTGGCAAGTTGTAATATTTGGGCACTTGAGGTTCGATTTGTGATATATTGTGATATTGATACGCATGTGGTGTGATAAGGTATGCTTGATATGCGCGGCTAGTAGAGAAACTACTAGAAGCCATACGATGTGATAAAGTGGGTTAAAACGCGAGATGCTATTTTGGAAAAAATAATTTTTAAAACCAAATGTGAAGGCTCCCACAGTAATATAAGGAAAGATTGTGAATTTATTTATGATTTGGGATGATATAAGGAAAGATTATGAATTTATTTATGATTTGGGACCACAAAAAAAGGCGGTACCTCGGGAGTGCCCTTGTTGATATTTTTCTATTGGTGCATTTGTGTTTGGTTGTTTTGTTCCGTGTTATAATATCCATTGTTTTCTTCTATGATACATTAATTGCCTTAGTTTTGTGTATTTCTTTAATCGTCTCCTTCCTATTATTGTCATTTTTTTTTTATTTTTTATTGTTGTTGTTGTTGTTGTTGTTGTTGTTGTTGTTGTTGTTGTTGTTGTTGTTGTTGTATTTAGTGTTGTTGAGCCGAAGGCTTGGTGTGATTGTGGTATAGAAATTATTTTTAAGAAATGTAGGTTCATTGTGTTTGTTATACATTTTGAGTAACTCTACTTGTTGTTTCGATGAACTATTTGATGTACTTGACTTTTCTTGTTGATTTGGGCTGCAGTAGTAGACCTGCACATGCATACACTGTAACATACTACTTATACTAGATCATGAGAACGAAACTTGACATTTATTGACTATATCCATGTACTCTGGTATTACCCGTTTTATTTTGAGATTGTGAGCCTGTGAATATGCCGAACGAATTATTTTATTAGCACGTGAGTTGTCTATGCAGATCCACATATTGATATTATTGTCACGTGAGTTGTACGTGCAACACGTGAGTTGTCCGTGCAGATTCGCATATTGATATTATTGGAACGTGAGTTATCCGTGCAACACATGAGTTGTCCGTGCGGATCCACATATTGATATTATTGGAACGTGAGTTATCCGTGCAACACATGAGTTGTCCGTGCGGATCCACATATTGATATTATTGGCACGTGAGTTATCCGTATAGATCCATATATTGATATTTTGGGCATGTGAGTTGTCTGTGCGGTTGTGATAGAGATATGGGCACGAGGTGCCGTGAGAATATGATAGTGGGTTGAGACCCGTATTTTATGACTATGAGATGAGGTATCACGAAGTGACTTTGTTGTGAAAAACTTGTCTTTAAAAGACTTAATTAATTGGTTGTCCTTGTGTTATTTATATGGTTCAACGATATTCATGGTGTTTTTATTGCTTTGCAGTTTATATCATTGGTTGATTCTTGTTGCCATTACTATTTTCTGTTTTCCATTATTGTCGTTATACTGTTATACTGCACAAGTTATTTTGATTAGTGAGTGTCTTGACTTTACGTCATCACTACTCCATCGAGGTTAGTCTTGATACTTACTGGGTACCGACCGTGGTGTACTCATACTACACTTCTGCACATTTTGTGCAGAGCCAGGTATTGGAGATATCGGACTCTGACAGAGTTAGCTTGTTGATCGCAAGAATTCAAGGTATAGCTGCTTGGTCGTCGCAGTCCCTTAGAGTCTTTTCCTTATATTATACTGTCAGTTATTATTCGAACATTATTATATTTCGATCCTTGAGATCATTTCATGTATTCAGTTAGAGTTCGTAACTCTGTATTATTAGTCTTGGGAGGTTATAATTATTTCCGCTTTTGGTTTCGTCACTTGTGTTAAACTACTATTAAAACAAATGGCTTAAAACATGTTATAGTGATCGGCTTACCTAGTCTTAGAGACTAAGGTGCTATCACGATGCCTGTGGTGGAATTTTGGGTCGTGACAATAAACTTTTGAGATTACTATGTTTGTGATTTCTAGATATTTATTTTTACTCTCAAGCATGATTTAATAACAGAAAGTTTAGTTAATATCAAAATTTTTAAATATAAGAAAAATAATTGAATGAATATTTTGTTATTTAAAAGAAATACTTATTAGCCTTGAAAAAAGACTCCTAAACCTGGATAAAAAAGGACTCCCAAACCATGAAAAGGAAAGTAAGGACTACTAAATTTTTATAACAAGATACCCGTGAGCCTAATAATAAAATTAAATACTTCTGAAGCGATTGAAATTCAATACCCTAAATTTAAATGTAGTTTATATGAAGGACTCCATTAAATAACATAATTTTTCAGATCAAAGTCTTAAGTATTAAGAAAATAATTAAGTGACTATTCTTAAATATTATGAAAATAATTAAATTATTATTCCTACAATTTAGAAAAATAACTTAAATTACTATTTGCCAAATGTGAAAGTTAGTGTCATGACCCGAAATTCCCATCTTCGGAACCGTGATGGCGCCTAACATTTTACTTGATAGGCAAGCCAACATTAGAATAATTTTATCCATTTTTTTCAATTCAATTTAATTAATAATAAAGAAATCAAATAATTGAA